TGGAAAACTATTATGTGAATCGGGAAGACTGAAAGTGAGTCTGTCTGTCCATCTTGAGGGTGAGATCTGCAGTTCAGTTCATGTGCACTGAGTTGCTATTGGGACCTAAGTGTTTGTTTGAAGACCAAGTCTTCAATTCAAAGCATAGATGGACAATAATACCATGAAGCTAGGAGTGTTATGGGAATGAGCACACTAGGCCTGGAGTCCTGCACTCTGGGAGGCTGCTTAGAGCCCTGTCTGAGCAACTTGGCGATTTCATGAAACCCTGTCTCAGAATACAGAGATGAAGAATGGGCTGGGGTGTGGCTCGGAGCAGAGGTCCTGGGTTCCATCTCACTGGTGGACAACACTCAAACTAATATTTTAATCTTTCTGAGGTACGCTTCCATGAAGTACTGTTGTTAATGTTGTGAGTTGTCTGACAGCAGTGCTCCAGCAAGTCTGGGGAGGAACAAGCAACGGACACCATCTCAGAAGTGAATGGGCATTCTGTCTACAAATAGCGTGTTTCCAAGACATTGAAAACCCTTCAGAATGTGCAGCAGCACTCATCCACGTGATTTGTCCTGGGGGCAAGGAAATCTTCTGAAACATCTTCTGGTAGAGACACAAATAAAATCAGGGACAATTGAGTTCTCACATGACAAGTATGTACAGCAATGTTCATTGTTTTTGATAAATTCTTCGTGTATAAGCATTTGTGTGGTTTGTTTTACCTTTATCTTGTCTGCTGTCTTGGAAGAATACAAAGAGAAGTTAATTTTTAAGTGATATTTCATCAAATATAACAATGCAGACAATGAATTGTGTGACCTAAGATGCTTCTCATTATTTAAAAATTGAGAATTATTAAACTTGTGGTAATCTGTTCTTTTTTATTAGTCCGTATCTGAAGTACATGATGTTTACATCTGTGTGTGACCTTGGCACATGGACATAGCACATCTTAGTTCCTTTTGTCATCCTTTTCCCCTCTGTGTCCCTACCCCCCATCTTGATTCCCTCCCCATTTGACAAAGATCTCTCTACTTCCTATTATCTATCTTTTATTTTGCTCTTAATTTACAGTTCAGGTTTCTCATATAAGAGAAATCATATGATAGTTAAGCTCATGGGTCTGATTTATTTCACATGACACTGTGTTCTCAAGGGGCGTCCATTCTTCTACAGATGCCTCAAGTTTATCTTTTCTTTATGGCAGAGTCGTACCCTGTTGTATGTACTTAGCACATTTTTTTTATCCATTTATTTGTTGATGGACATATAGGTGTAGGCAAGGACTTTCTGGACAGAACTCCAGTAACACAAGAAATAATACCAAGAATCAACAGATGGGATCATGTCAAATTAAACAGCTTCTGCGCAGTAAAAGAAACAACAAACGGACTGAAAAGATAACTTACAAAATGGGGGGAAAATCAGCTATTCCTCCGATAAAGGATGAGTATCCAGAATATATAAATAGCTCAAAAAAGTAGACCTCTCAAAATAAAAGACCCAGCCAAAAAATAGATCTTTTAACTGAAATGAATAGATACCTCACAGAAGTACAAATGGCCAATAAATACATAAAGAAATGTTGATCATCACTAGCCATCAGGGGAAAGCAAATTAAAAGAACACTGAGATTCCATCTTATGCCAGAAAGAATGACTATCATCAAAAAATTCTAACAGTAACAAATGTTGGTGGGGTTGGGGAGAAAAAGGAACACTTCTACATTGTTGGTGGGAGTGTAAACTAGTACAACCACTGTGGAAATCAGTATGGAAATTCCTCTAAAACTAAAACTAGAAATTCCATTCCACCCAGCTAGTCCCTTTGTAGGTATCTTCCCATAGGAGTTATAGATGTCGTATTACAGTTTCACGTGCATACCCATGTTTATAGCAGCACAACTTGTAAAGTTAAATCCTGAGTGCAAGTAGTATTGTTAATCAAAGGAAGGGTTTATCTAGCTTGACTAACAGCACTGAGGTAAGTCACTGGTCTCCACTTATAATGTTCTTCTATCTGTGCAGGTGACTTTGTAGGGATTGAAGTACCCTGTTTAAGCATGATGACCATGTTTTACAGCTCATTTTTAGAGCTTATTTGGATGATAATATAATGTGTGAGTCATTACATTAATTGAAGATAGTTGCTGGAAAATAAATGTAAGTCTGATTAGACACACATACACATGTCTTTGATGGGTATTGTTCAAATATATAAATTAAAAATAAAGAATATGGAATGGTTCCTCAGTCTACACTGGCACATCCTAAAATTTCATCTGTACAGTGTGTATGTGGAGTAGGAAAAATTGTTTGCCTATACAGCAACATCTGGTCCTGTATGCAATTCTGTCTGAGGTCTAGTTTTAGACTTAGTGTGCACCGACAACATAACTAAACATTTTTCTTGGGCTGGGGATTTAGCTCAGTGATTCTGCCACCTGCCTCACAAGCTCAAGGACCCAAGTTTGATCCCCTGT